CTTTCCAGATTAATTCTCCTGGCCTTGGGCTCTTTGCCCTGCACTCCCTCCATGGCCCCATCAATTGCTGATGGATGGAGAGCGCAGTTGAGTCTAATCAGGGCATTTTTATTTTTTATGTTTGTTTTATTTGTGTTGGAATGTTTATATTCCTGTTTTAATTATCTTGCTATTTAATACTGTTTTAAGGGGGTGGGTTGGGGTATTTGTTGTATGGGGTTTTAAACTGATGTAAGCCACTTAGATTGTCTTCATTTAAGTGGGGTATAAATAAATTTTATTATTATTATTATTATTATAACGGATCAAGCCTGAAATATCCCTGAAAGCCAAGATGATCAAAGTAAGGCTGTCATTCTTTGGCCACATCATGTGAAGACATGACTTATTAGAAATGAACTAGTGCTAGGAAAAGTACAAGGTAGTATAAAGAACGGAACACTGCATGCCAGATAGATGGTTTTAATCAGGGAGATCTTGGGCCCGAATTTGCAGGAACTAAGCAGAGCAATGGTGGAAAGGGGTCTTAGAGATGTCTCATCCACAGGGTTGCCAAGATTTGGGGTGAACTCAAGGACAATTAAGAACAATAATGTGATGATGTGGCATTGCTATTTTGTTTGTCTGGTAGTGATCCTGGCCTTTTAATAATTGAATTCAGCACATTAAACTTTCCTCTAGCACTAAGATGTAGTGATGGGAAAAGCTTCACTTATTATGCATCAGATACTTGTTATAAAAGCATGGAAACCCTAAGGTAAGCTTATTATGGTTTTTTTCTGGGGAAGATTTGTTCAGAAGGTAGTTGCCTTGCCTTCCCCTGAGGCTGAGTGAGCATGACTTGCCCAAGGTGAGTGTGACTTGCACAAGTGAGTTTCCATGGCTAAGTGAGAATTTGAGCCCTGGTCTCCACAATCATAGTCCAAAGCTCAAGCTACTACACCATGCTGGCTCCCAGTTAAAATGTATAGAAGACCTGATAGGAAAATAAAGTGCTGATCATGTGGTACAGTGGCTAAGGAAGACTTCTCCAACTGTGTGCCTTCCACATATGTTGTAGACTGAACTGGGGATTATGGGACCTACAGATTATGGGATCTTAAGGAACACATAGGGGCAGGCATATGAGTTGTTTTGGTCTATTTTTCAATCTGTTGAGCAGTCTTGATAGCCTCAGCTAAAGGTGGGATATAAATAAATCATTATTATTATTATTCCAGCAATATCCTTCCATGTATTTAGCCAGGTTGGCTCACGTGGCACACACACAATCTGCCATTGGGTTCTCAAACTCTTGGTAGAACCTCCTAGACCTCATGCTCTACTGGTATAGCCTTTGAAAGACTAGGGACATTACAGCATGGGCATGCCTTTGCACCGCATTCATGCAACTCCATTCTCACGACTGCAACCTCAATAACACTAGTGAAAAACTTTTTCTGCATTAACTTGGTAAAACCAGGATTGTCTTTGGTTTTGAATGAATGTGTTGCTCATTGGTTTTCCATACAGGTTACGACTTCCCCATTTGTTTCCATGCAATGCACATTTGTAATTTTTTACAGTGATTCTCAAAGTGAGTGGTACTGCTCCCAGGGAAGCAGAGGAAAGGGGAGGGAAAGGGGAGCAGGGGCCAGTGTAAAGATCCAATGGGGTGATGGATGAAAAGGGGGATGGCCCCCAGTCAAAGTATGGTGAGCAAGAAGAACAAGGGAAACCAGCAGCCTTTAAAACCATGGAGGGAATAAGGTCCTAAAACAGGGACAGGCAACCTTCTTGAGACCTGGGCCGGTCTCCTGTAGCCCAGGTCTTGGCTGGGCCGAGGGGGGGGAATGGCAGCGCGTGCGCTCACGCGCGCACGCGCACCCTCCGCCGCCATGTGCGACCCCCCCGCTCACGCTGCCGCTGTGGCCGCTACTGTGGCCACCACCGTAGCGCATGCGGCCACAGCCACCGTGGCACATGTCGCGGCCACTATTTTGGAAGTCAAAATGGCAGCCGTGACGCGTTTGCGCGTGCACAAGATTACTGCGCATGCGCAAACACATCACGACCGCCATTTTGACTTCCAAAATGGCGATTGCAGCGAGTGCGGCTGAAAATGCGCCCCGACAGAGGTGCACGGCAGCAACCTTCGGCCTGGGCCGGTAAGTCCAGGGCCTGGGGCCTTAACCGGCCCCTGGGCCGTAGGTTGCCAGTCCCTGTCCTAAAGGGATGGTGGGGATGTGCATGAAACCTCTCTTTTCAGGGTCCCTTAAAACCACTGTACAGCCTTGATTGCTTCGTGTGGTGCTGTCTCCCTTTCATTGCCTCCCACATGAGCTCACACCCATGGTGCCATTTTCAGACATACTGACTGACTAGAGTGAAGAGTTAGAGCATGTAGCAGCAGGGGAGAAGCCAGTAGCAAAAAGGAGCTTTTACATTTGGGGCCCTGATTAAGCATTGTGAGTTTTGTTGGGACTTGGCTGGAAGATTGGAGCTGTATTCCTACTCCTGCTCCTGGTTTCTTTTGATGATCAAGCAGAGTCAAGAGATAGCAGAAGAACCAATGTGGGGGGGGGATTTGAAGCTGTGTGGGGAAGGCATGTATCTGGGGAAGGAGTGGGAGGATAAACTATTTGATTCTTAGAGTCCTTCACCTCTTTTAGACTGAGAATTCTTCCTTAACAGGTAGAAAAACAAGAAGCCGGTTGTGCCCCTCTCTGCCCTGGCAAAGAAAGATTGAGAGTCCTTACTCACTGGGGAGATATGTCTCCCTTTGCACTGTGTCACCTTGAGAACAGCAACTAAGCAGCTAGTCAAGCAGCAACTGATAATCCTCTTGTCCACACTAGCCTTTGCCACAAGGCTGGCACAGATGAGAGGCCTCTTGGTAGCTGCTCAGCTGCTGTTTGGTTGCTGCTTCCAAGGTGACTGGGTGCAGAGAGCAGCAACCAAGTTTCCACTTGAGCAGCAACCAAGAAGCCTCTCACCTGCACTGTCCTTTGCCACAAGCCTTTGCTTCAAGGCTGGCATGGGCGAGAGGCTTCTCACCTGCTGCTCAGTCAGCTGCTTGGCTGCTGCTCCCAAGGTGACCTGATGCAAAGGGAGCAATGACCAAGATTAGTTGTTTTGAATCTGAAGTAGAACAATAAACCTAATATCAAGAAATAGGCATTGGACCATTGGACCAGGGTCTCTATGCCATGATGAAGTGGTAACAATAAGGCTTTTTGGAACAGAAATAGGATCATTCCAGAAACAGGGTCATGAAAAACATCTATTATTCATTTTCCCTCAAATTCATTTGGCATTCCAATTCTCTCTTGTTAAATGTCCTCTTTCTGGTAAATTTCTAGTGTTGTTTGTATATAACACATTGGCATCTGCTACATTGTTTTCCTTATGAGCATTGTTGATCTTGATCTTTCTCCCGCCCTCATTGCTTCTTTGACTCCCTTTATTCTTTTTATCCACATTTCCAAATGATGTAATTCTTCCTGTATATATTTTCAAAAACAAAACAAAAACAAAGTAAAGATCAAACAAAGATTTGAAGAAGACAGAAGACATTTTTTTCAAAGAACTGAAGAGTGTACATGGAAAGCATTCTCAAAAGGCCATGATGGTGTCAGAAGTATTTTGAAATGATAGCTATAGTTTAAAAACTGTGAAGCCTAAAAGATGATTCTGGTTTCCTCACCCAAGGCCCAACAGTATCATTCAAATTCAAACTGCTTCTGTTTACATTGCCTTCCTATTGCCAGTTGTTTGTTTATGAATTGGGCATATGACTGGGGGAAAAAATCATTTTAGGGGGGGGGGAACTTAACAATGAAACATAATAGGTGGAATACAGAGTTATTCCAGATTTTTTTTCAAAGGTAGATGTTCCAGTTAAAATTTATATCAGAACTAAAAGCCATTATGTCACTGTGGAGTTCTCTATTAACATGTCTAATTAAATTAAGTTATCTTACCCTAGCAGTGAGTGTTCACAGAACATTAGGAAAACAATTTTCTTTGTATTTATATCAATATCTCTTTCTCTATTGATATCTATAACAATACAGCAGATGGCTTTGATCCTGATGAAAGTAACACAGTCATTTCAGCACATGGTTTAGAATCTAAACATCAGATACAAGACTGTATGGTGGATTTTTGTTATTAGAAGACCACCTGAATGTTTAATTCCTATAGCAACTGATCTGTTTTTCCAGTAGAATCAATAAGCTGTCATTCACTTTGTAAACTTTGTGAACTTTGGAACATCTCTGATGTATTCTTGAACAGCAAGAAAATTATTTCCAAAATTCATGAGTTTCAAAAGCATTTAATTGCAACCATGGCCAAGATCCTGCATTTCCCAGCAATGTAGACTAGGTTCTTCTAGTCTAACCATTAGAAACATCAGACA